TCATACCCCGTTTATAAACATTTTCTTTGAAATAGGTTGAAATTGAATCGTGATCTCTGCCTAATGAATAGGCATAGCGTCGTAGTGCATCCAAATTCAGGGCATCTTCATGGAGGCAGATAAGCTTAAGGAATGTTACGTTTACAATGGTTTTCTAGGTAGCAGTTCTTCTTACGCTTCTATGCCAGATGAAAAAGAAGATTACCTCGTCGAAAGGACATTAAGCCAAGGATTCAGGATCAACTCACACATACCCAATATACCCACATGGATGTTCAGCCGTCATTCCATTGCATAGAGTGCACGTGTTTCTTTATTACTAGATACCCCCACTCACATAAAGGAACTGCTACTGTTACTTTGTTGTTCTTTGTTAGTTAATTTATGTCAGCGCTACACACAACACGAATCCGAGTTTAATTTCATTCATTCGCAATCGCTCTTTGTAACAGAAAAATCACGCTGTTCAGGTATAATAAGTTGTTAGAATGAGTATGTGTTAATGGGAAGTATTTCGCGTGTTATGTATCATCTAACTGAGAAGAATGGGAGTTTGTAACCTTCTTAGATTATCAATGATATCACGAGGTAACTATCCGTTCGCTCTCTGCGGTTTTCCCTTGTGACGTCCATGATGCTTATCACTGTAAGTCCGAACTATACAAGTATGATTATACAAATATACGAGAAATACAAATATTAAGATAGTCAGTCGTTCTATCACCGACAGCAGTTAAATGACTAGCGGTACTGATAGTATAATTGTGGCAATCCTAGCAAAGAACCGAACGGAAAGAACCGCATTTGCGAGCTCTGGGAAGCTCGTTTGTGGTTCTGATATACCCACGACTTAAACAGACCAGCAACGCTGCGACGGCGTCGGCGACGCAGTGGCCCACGCATCGTTTCCGCTTCTGTTATTACTAATATATAGAAGGTAGTGAAAGGAAGGGAGGAGCGAGTGAAGGGACTGTTACCCTCGTTACAGTCCCTTCACTCGCAACGCTGCTGACGTTCGTTCTCCGACGCTGGTTCTGCCACGCTATAACTTTCGGCACTTCTCATTCCTATTGCGATTCTGCTTTTTGCGTGGCTTGGGTGAAAGGAAACTTTAATAAAAAAAGATGACTCCGGTTAGTTACGAGCACGCAAGGTGCCAATCCAGCAGGCTAAAAACCTAAGGGCATTTCCTTTTTGGTGGCCACAGCGAGAATATTACAACGGCCGGCAGTGATGCTGTGCTGGAATATTCCCTGTTACTGAGGCCTGCTGTCGCCTCTATCCCTCCTATTACTCTGAGCCATTCTATTGTTATTCCAGCACAAACGTGCAGCGTACGCGATAGGGTCGTGGAGGCAAGCGAAGGAGCGGAGCGGAGCGCTCGCTAGCGTTCATGGGCCAGTGGGCTAGCTGATACTAAATACGACGAAGTTGGACTAGTGTGCTAGATTTAAGATGAGCCTATAGGAAACCATTTGCCTTCTGGTACGAACAGAAAAACGCCCAATGGGGTGTGCTTGTCCTAGCATTATTTTACCCCTAGCTTGGTTCCCTTCTTCGATTCGAGCTTCCAGACGTCTCGGTGGAGTTCAGATATTTGTCAGGGATATGCTACTCGAGGCATAAATACTAATAATAATTATTATGCACCAATGATTTGTCGCATTGCACACAACTATAGAGGGAGCGAATCTGAAATAAAGGCAAAATAAGTACTAAAATTTCGTACTGTTGTTGTTGGTTGAATGGAAATAGTTCGTACGAACAAGCACCTCCACATTAATGATTTTAATATTAATTTGGGTTTCCCCATCGGTTCTGCGTTGAGCAGGTAAACGCTCACAATAATCTTTGTTTTTTTTTTTTAACTTTTGACAGTTTGTGTTAAACTATTGAGCTACATAGAGTCAACGAATTCAATGAATAAATGAATTGAACGGAAAAAAACGGGCGGAACCTAATAGACGGGACTCTCTGTGGATCTAATAAAAGATCCTCGATATAACTGAACAAATTTTTTTGTTTTGAGGGGTCCTTAGTTGTCTTTTAACGCCATAGGGAACGATTTACATTGTGAGCTTGTCATTGCTATCGGTGCTTCGTGTGAGTGTGTGCATGGGCGTCTGCTTCTCTATATCGAAACTATAAGCGTTAGGCTTTATACATTTATATAGAAATGTGTGTGTGCATGTATGTGGTAAAAGATGATTATTTTTCGGACCATGCTGTTTAATTTACTGGCGATTCCAGATTATTGCCTCCCTTCCCTCAGTGTTGTTCATGATGATGATAATAATAACATACCTAAATTGATGCAAACAACAATGATGACCTCCATTGTGTTCGGTTGACGGTGACGATTATAGGGTTAGTTGCGTACTGGTAGCACGGTTGCATTTATGAGAATGAGTGCTCGTGTGTGTTGTATATCTTTCTCCTTGATTAGGTAGGTGAACTGGAAATGCAAGCAAACGACGGGCATATGGGCGATCAGATGGTCGCGATCGGATTCCAGCTTAGCGTGCATTTCGTCGTGGTGATAACGACGCTTCAGCACTGGGTAGGCATATGCAACGCCTACTTGATCGCCCTCGTTGCTTTCTCTCTCTCCGTAGATCATTTAATGCGCCACAATGGGCGCATTGTTTGCCTTCCAGAAGTCGCTGCGTCCTAAGGACTAGATTCCGCAGTTAACCGCAATCCTTGTGAGTTAGCTGTCTACAGAAGGGCCCGGAAAAAGACACCTTTTGACAATAACAAACAAAACGAAAACGATATTAATATCAGAAATCTACTCGGTGTACTAGATGGAGATTACCAGCTCTCAGTAACTTTCATCGGTTTACCCCTTTGAACATTATTAGGGTGCTGATAGGTGGTCGGCAGCTTTTTGAGGCAAACATAGAGGGTTCTTGCGATGTGTTTTGTTAAAACGTTAAAGGATTAGGTAAAACACGAGTGGGTCTGCACTGACCCAATAACGTGAACGAAGAACTCGAAAGATGGAATCTGGACTGGTCAAAGTATTTGTTCTGTTAGGAGACAGGCCAGCAAAACATAAATGGGTGTTATGAGCTTGTACAACGGTGCGGTTGTTACACGTGCGTTCTTGAATGCTAGCGTATTTCAGTACGCGGGCTGGATGCTTGTGTTAGTTACCTTTATTAGTTGTGATAGAGGTTTGCTCAATGGTCGTAGTGGACGACCATTAGTTATTTCATCATCATGTAGACGTAACTTCCTGAGGATCACAAGCCGAACGATTTCGAATTCGCGGCTGAAATAGATCAGCTAAAGAAGCAGTCTAGCTAACAAAACAAAGAGAGCAATGATTGAAAAATATTTTTTTAAATTATTCCTTGCAATAACCCTTCGATCGAAGCCAGTCACGGAAGCGAGCATTTTGACAGATCACCCTCACCCGTCTAAGCGAACTAAAAAAGTGTCTGAGCTGAGGTACTTGACTTATTATGGTGGAGTGACAAGGACGACACCTTTGTCTGTTGCAGAGAGCCTATGTATATTTATGAAGTTACGTATTGATGTAAAGTAAACGCAAATTCGGTTATGCAAGCAGAAGTGGACAAAAGTTACATTTGACCTATTGAAGAAAATTAAGCTCACTACAGACTAGGATGGTCTAGTAGTCTCTTGTTAAAAAGATAATACCATATATTTTAGACGATTTTCTTATTCTAACTAGGTGTTAAATTTTTGTTTTTTTTTAACTGTATGCATTGAGGGTTACACGTGTAGAGAACTGGGCTTTTATAAGAAGAGTGCTAGTGAAGCCTTGAAAAAAGCTGGTGGAGCTCGCTAATATGTGATATTTTTATGCCTTTGTCAAGCGATAAGCGCGCGAGCTCATTTTTTTGGGGCATAGCCCACGCGTCATATTAATTCAAAATGTTGAGGTATTTCGTTCTTTCATCCAAAAACATTATACATATATCGTAGCCATTATAATCAGACATTTAGATTTAACGCTGGTTTTACAAGCTCTTTTGTAAGCTGTAGTTTTATTCTATCAGTAATGAAAAAGCGCTAATCATCGACATTGGTGCGCTGAGTATGTTAAAAATCCATGGTTTGCATCAGTAACTATGACATAATAAGTTAAGATTATTCCAAGTTGTGGTCGAACGGTTTATATCAGTTTGCATTTAACTATGTCATTAATCGCTGTTTCACTACGGCTCTCATCTGTGTAATACCTCTTTATAGTTGCTAGATAGAACAGTGGAAATAGCTAGCTGGATAATGCTTCAGCTATCATAACAACAATGAGTGAAGAAAAAGCTTAACTTGGCAATATATAGAAAACCAAATCAGGACGACGTCGTAGTCTTTACGCGGCTCTCTTGCACGGGCAGGGTATCTGCTAAGAAAGTGTTTTCTTCACTGACGATCATCAAAGTCCTGATCTTCATTTTGGGCAATTGCATTATGAAAATAGCATTCATAATCTTGTAGAATAACCAGGCAGTATGTATTTTCCATTACTGACATTTATGGTGCTGGCGTTTTTCATCGAAACGAGTTTCAAATTGGTAGTACCGAGAAATTACGTTAATCGTTCGTATCAGTTTAGTGATGGTATATTGTACATAGTCAAATATATATGATTACATATAGTACGGTTTGACACTACATGGCCTGTACTATGGGTGCTACGAGGCTGAGCTAAGTCGTATTACGTAATGTAGACGTGTGTGTACCATAAGCCAAGTACGACATCGTATGCGTCGTACGAGCTCGCATCAAACGGATGCAGCCGATACTGATCTGCGAATCATCGCTTTCATTTTAACATGTCATCTTCTCATTTTGCCTGCTACTGTCGGTATCAAGCTCAAATTTGCATAAACAATTTACATTAACAGGTACAAAACACTCACAAGCCATAGAAGCAAAGTGTTCTTTATTGTTATTAAGCAGATGTCGCAAGTCAGCGTTCGTTGATTGGCACGTACGTTATTTTTTTATCTTTCGTATTTCAGGAAACCGTGGCGGTCCATGGCGCGGTGTTGCAGCGTTGCTGTCTGCATCAAAAAAAGGCTTTCAGCGTTGTGCCACTAGCGTCTGGCTGCCGATGCGTTTTCGACGGCAGTATTCGCTGCTTCTGTCTAAGGCAGCGATAACGCTCTGTTTTACCTATCTAATCTGGTATCAGATACGAGATCCAGCGCCGTCGGCGGACGCCGTGTCGGATACTTTGCCGCGGGCGTTTGCCCGGCTACGAAAGAATAATGGGAGCGTTTGGGTTATTGAGCCGTCCACACGAGCCCAAGCACCCAGGTCTGAGGCGTCTTCATACGTACGAAGCTATGTGGCCGAGCTGAATCGCATGCAAACTATCTATAACGAAGATGTATACGGACCGCTGGCTGAGCACGATGTCGTTATTGTAGTACAAGTCCATAACCGATGGACGTATCTTGAAGCGCTAGTTGATTCTCTTCGGGCAGTACCCAACATCAATCGGACATTGCTGATATTCTCGCATGACTTCTATGACGCAAATGGCGTAATCGAGGAGTTACCAAAGATTGTGACGTTTACAAAAATGATGCAAATTTTCTATCCGTCATCGATTCAACTCGAACCTAACCGATTTCCCGGCGATGATCCAAAGGACTGTCCTCGTGACGCAACCAAGAGTATTGCTAAAAAGTTGGGCTGTCAGAACGCCGCCTACCCAGATCTCTATGGGCACTATCGGGAAGGCAAGTTCTGCCAAACGAAACACCACTGGTGGTGGAAGGCGAACCGGGTAATGGACGCGCTAAACGCGACAGCGCAGCACAACGGGCCGTTCATGTTCCTTGAAGAGGATCACTATGTAACACCGGACGTCCTGCATGTTCTACGTCGAATGGAAACCGCTCAGCCGAAGGCGTGTCCAGAGTGCCGAATATTTGTTATGGGCACCTACTTAAAGTCATTTAATTATCGCCAGCTTGGTTCAACCGTCGACATTTTAAAGTGGGCTTCATCGCGGCACAACATGGGCATGGTGCTCTACCGGGAGCTTTGGCGGGATGTCCGTGACCGCTGCGCACGCACATTCTGCACGTACGATGACTACAACTGGGATTGGTCGCTCTATCGAGTCAGTATGTCATGTTTCGAGAAGCCCCTGCACGCGATGGTCGTAAGAACAACACGAGTCTTCCACGTTGGCGAGTGCGGCGTTCACCATAAAGGCTAGTATGGCTGTCCATTAATATCGACTTACAATATGCACCTTAAAGAAAAACGCAGTAACGCGCTTTTCCGAATATGCACAACTAACGTCTTACATATAGAGCACGGGTTGAACACGCTAACTGTAGAACATATCTGAATGACATCTCTTAAGAAGATTTACCATAGTTAACGGCTGCATGCGATACGGTTCTGCATAAACTGCAAGAAAAGCACGCCTGAGTACGTGTTCGTTGATAACACGCGTATTTCTATATTACTACGCATATATAAGCACATTTTCGTATCACACGATAGACTTGAAACGCTGCAGCGGTCTTCCTGCACTTACGGTTTTGCCTATTTGCCGATCTCCAATGATTCCTCTTCGATCTTACCCCTTTTTATCACGTTTGGCTTTACGACTAGAACGACATTCTGTAACTTAAATGAATACTTGCAATCATCATAGAAGAGCTGCAATTACCAGGTCGCTGCATATTTGCTACACAGTAGCGTTAACGACGAGTTTATAGCAATGAATATGTCGGCATTTTGTTTATGTACTTGTCCACTAGCCCTAACCCGAATAACTACGATATCGCTATAAAACTGGGAGGTCCTTCGTTGTCTCAAGGTCATTGTAACGATGACGCCTTCTCCACCACATCGTTGAAATGTAACCAGTGCCCGTTTCAATATAGATCAGCCGAAATTATGGTAGTTGGCATGTGATCTAGACGTATCTCTTTACTTTCTGACCCATTGCTAGAAGTAAAAGCAGCCAGATTACGATTTGAACTATCCGATTCACTGCGGCTTTCCAGACCATGATGACGCTCGTAACTTCTGTAAGAATAGTAATAATAATACTGCTTTGTAAACCTAATGCGAATCGGACTCGCTTGGTCAGTTAAGCAGTGAGCGAACCAATGGCTCCGAAGTCATCTGAAGCTTGTCCTTCATCCTGGACAGACAAATACACCTGCCTGTATTTCGCCGTCCCTTCGACACTTGGTCCGTGTGTGCGACTCTGAGCAGAAACAACGCCGTTCTAGCTGCTGCTGCTTCTGTCGTTGATACATTATCCTTGCATATTATTAGTTTGCTAATATCGTTGATACGGGTCGACTACACGTGCGTTGCTATGAGCGGAAAGCACGACCTGAATCGCTCAGTTAAGACTACGACTAGCGGCCATAGAGTTTGGACACAGGCTTGCGTGACGCATGGTAATGGGTGCAGCTATCCAGTAACTCCACCGATAGGTAGCGCTATACGACGCGCATTAGCCTTATGGATCAAAATTTATTGTAATAAATAACCATCGTCTTCTTCTCTAATGATATTACCAGTATAATAATATGAGTATTGGTAGTAGGAACGACATCAACCTTGCGTCAAGAAGCTAAAAGCTCGAAACGAACAGATAAGAGTAACAACTCGGCTTTTTTACAGAATGTTGCGGTAAGTACACGCTAGGAGTAAGGGATTATGATAGGAGATAACCTGCTGCTGCTGCTTATGATGGAACGCTGTCCATTGGTCGTTGACGCAAATTGTTCTGACAAGGCAGCTTGTCGTAGTGCTGCTTGTATACCACAACGACAGAACGAAGGACATGTATAAACCTATGTGACTGCGTATGCTGATAATACGTTTACTCGCATCGTGCTTCAGTTGTTTCTGCACGCATCGGCAGATGGGGACGTATTATTGTTCCGGGTTATTTTATTTATTCCGTATTATTATTACGGGTGTCCTGGCTTACACGGTACAATTACGTTTCTATTACTGCGGACGACGGTAACCATATTTTTTATATAGTAATTGACAATAGACGATGAAAATTTTGTTAGAGACGTCCAGTGTCGGACGAAATAAAGCAAGCAATACTCTACGGTCGATTTGCCGTTGTAGGATATCGTGTGTTGCCAAAAATGAAAAGTCGCTGAGAGCTCGTCGCTTATGCTCGGGGAAGTGCGTTACCAAAAGATAATTTGATTAATACAAATTCGTGCGTTCACTGTATAGTTTAAATGTGCTGTGTTAAACAAAAGCACGCAGTATGATCCTTAACTTATTAGGCGATCGCTACTTTTGATCCTGCTGCGGTCCTGATCACTTTTCCTGGCCAAGGTACCACCTTTATCAAGGCCAAACTTTTTCTTCATTTTAGCCTTGCCACACTGCGTGGTTAGCTTTCTGCTATTATTGACTCAGGAGATTCCATAATGTACCAGACACATTTTTGGAAAAACGTAGGGGTTACATTCCGAGCCGCCTGATGGACCGGAATGTAAAACTGGAAATATTTAGATGTTCTTATAATAATAGTTGCATCTATCTAGGCAGAGTTCAACCTACTAAATATTTTTCCGGAGCTCATTTAAAAGTAGCCCGGAGCGTTTCACATTCGAAGGTTAACATCATGAATTACCTTCTAAAATTAACTTCAGAACTTTACGAGCTCTGGTTCATGCTTTGTTAGCCTAACACTCATCAGAATTGCTACCTGCCTAATTGTTCAGTTAATTAGAAAGTACTTATATAGCTATTGCATGAAATAATAGATTTCCTTCGATTTTCTCCTTCAATTAAAACTAATTTCTATGTCAACTTGGACAATATAACCCTATAAATTACTAGTTTCCATAAAATATTTCATTTGATAAAAAAAGTTCCATATTCGATCTAATATAGATCAAGTCGTGCATAAACTATATGGCAGGTTAAAGGTAATGAATGCTTTCAGCGTTGTATAGTAGTACACCGGCATTAAACGGATCAGCACGCATAACGCTCAACCTTACAATGAGAGTTTCGAGTAAAATTCGAAATGGAAGCCATACATGATAAACTGCCATAGCAGGAGACTCCAGTCACATTGGTTTGATAGCTTCCATTTTGGTGGCTGTTAAAGCTTCAAGCTCAAAGGAGATTTTGCTACCCGTAAGCTACATCGCATAATATATGTAATGAGCAGATGAACTTACTGTTACTGAAGCTAGACGTTTGCCAACGGTGGATCTCCTGAGTTACAAACTAAACGCACGTCGACATCTTAGAGGCTGAATCATTCTTTCTACTTTTACCTCTGGTTGGTAGAAAATTGTCCATTTTTTAGTACCTATCATACACGATCTTTTTCTATCGGATTCCTTTGATGCGCAAACCCAAAACGTTGGCCTATTTATTTGCGACAAGTTCGTCACGAAACTGGGCAGCAAATAATATATATCACTTATGTTTTAATGAAAATATTCTCGCAACTACACCGGTAGCGGGGCGTAATTCGGATATTGCCTTTGCATAGCGTGTGCTGTTAGTTGAGTGACTAATATCTTTATTTTGTCCTATTCCGTAGACCTTTTAACGTAGCGTTTAATTACCTATTGTATACTGTTCAATTAACGTTACGCTGAATTCAATACATAATTGTTTAGATATACATCCACCCGTTCATTTTTTACGTAACTACACACTTCACGGTTCAGTAGCAACGATATTTTGGACACTTGGAAATAACGACCATAATCCCTTTGGTAGCTTGTTTCGATCCCAGCACACCAAGGCAGCACACTTGTGCACACTACTCTGCCATACATCGTATTCTGCGTTATATGAGCATGAATGTTTGTGTCTAATGGCTTTTGGTATGGCAGACCTAAACTAGGGCAAAACAGTGAGTTGCAGTTACTATATCTATGCTCAAGAAACGATCCCGCCCCTTTACTCGGTGTCGCTTGTTTCCGACACCGAACACGGTGTCCTCAGAGCCCGGATCATTTCCATAATGTTGTTCCCCGTTACGTAGGAGTTTGTCTCATACTGTCCAGAATAATAGTACTACTCAGTTACGCGCAGTTTTTAACCCTAAGGTGTGGCGATGTCCAGAGGCCGGCAATCCTCCAAAAGCGAAAAACAGGATTGTTGAAGGCGGTGTTATGCATGCACAGTATCCTAAAAACCTCATGCACATACATTACTATGCATGTACAGAAAAAGGCTTACTCGAAGCATAAAATTACCTAGTATTTAGCATATACGAATGAAAGTGACTAAATCAATATTTGTGTACAGGTAGACACAGATATGACATATCTATATTATGGTTATGATATGTATGTAATAAAAGTAATCATAGTACTGCACAGAAGTAGTAATACTTGTACTTATGTTTGCTGCCTTCTATGGTTATCGTCGATTTGGTAATGTACAAGCGTTGTACAAACATGTGATGAGTTTGATGTGATACGGATGCAATATTTTCGCCACGGAAAAATATGGCAATATGCATAGATATGAAACAAGTGTAGGCTAAACATCCATGTTGATTCCCCCATGTACATTTAGTGTATAACGAAACGCTTTGAGATTGAACTAATCTGCTTCGTCTATTCTTTTTGTGTGGATGTCTGGCTGCGGCCTTCATTGGGTCCATGTGGATTTTGCTTACAGGGGAGAATTGCGACCAGTCGCGCTTGATCCGCGCGGCGTCGGGGGTCATTTCCGCATCCGGCGCGTACTTCTTCCCAAATATTGTCCGAATGCAGAAGGTCCCCCAGCGGCCGCTCAAAGCACAGAAGCCCAACGGTGGCTGGGGGGATATTCGAGACCACCAGCTCTGTATGCACTTTCTCAACGAAACCCTTTGAGAGAAACGACATCTCTCATCGTGTATGGATCAGCAGAACCGTCACACGGAAAAGGGGTGCTTCTGATGCTGTCACGGAGAATTCGCTATTTGTGAAGCTAAGATTGGCGCTTACACTTAAATTGAGGCTCATTTCGTTTTGCCTGAAAATAAGCATTAGCCAGCCTTTTTTCGGCAGTATGTCCTAATGTATTCGGCGATTTCTTCTATAGGAGTGAATCTGTAATAGACAAAACCTCGACAGAGCTCTGCCAATTTGGTACTTATCTTATCTAAGGTCGGAATAACACAAAATGGCATTGATCCGGAGGAGAAAATGGTGTCCCAAGTTGAATTTCTTCTTACACGCTTAATTTTTTAATAATAATGACGCTTATTAATTAACGCTAACTCGAATTGTTGCTATTGAAGCAGAGGGGCAAGCCATATCTCTCAACTGACTACAGTAAGCGTTTAGAAGTAATGATATTCTTCATTAGACTGGTATTATTACTAGCATGAATTAGTTATACTGTGATACTACCAATGCAAATCTTGTTATAGTCAAAGTAATCGAGAAATTTACATTGTACTACTGGTGCTGTGCTCTAAAGATAGGTAGATTTTGCCGAGCTTTGTTCGATCCTGGTAACGGTCAGAACAAGACTATTGACTCGTACTACGTATTTGTTAGTACTTACGCTGGGAGGTACACGAAAATATGATCAGCTTCTAAAACATCGCCCATTTCTTCGATAACATGCAAGAGCTCATTACTCGACTGTAGATGTAAGTCCTGCATGTGCAAACGGGGTGCGAAGCTAATAAGCTCTGTAGGTCATTCCGTTCACTGAGGGAAACTAAGGCGTCCTGCTTGAACGAAACCTCAGCAGTACTCGTACCGTCCTAATTCAGTTTATGTTGAAAATATTATGTGCCATCCGTCTGGGCACTGAATAGTTTTGTGTTTGAGTTTGAAAAGTTTATTCGACGCATACAAGAGAAGTAATGTTTATTTTTTTTTTTCTTATTATCTTGTGGGGCTGAATAGACAAAAATATGGCAGGTTTCTGGCCGTTTAGTCGAAAATACCCTAATTGCTCCACCAGATCTATAGCACTCACACTGATATTGGAATTTCCCTATTTTTATCTTTTTTGCGCATGTATCTACATTCATTTTCTGGTTACGATTGAGCCGAGAACAACAGTTCTGTATGTTCAATACAATTTTGAGAAGCTACGTTTTTAGGTAAGGACACACCTGAGTAAACACATTTACCTAGCCAAGTACGCTATACGATCGTACCAAGTCTGTCGGGCTATGGGCTTTGGGAAGCCTAAAAGTTATTGAGAATATTTATGGGCACGCAACGTACCCAAATATGTTCAACATACCACTGATTATAGCGTCGTCAGAAAGTTGCCGAAAATTGTTTTGTAAAGTTTTCGACAATGTCGATCGATCACAGGTGCTGAGCTACAATCGGAGACCTTGGTGATATGAAGCGATGCTTGCTTTACGTCTGTTTGTGATATATATACATATATATATTGACCTGAACGGCTAAGCCTCTGAATGAAATTACAGGGGTGGCTGGTTTAAACTCCGCCAAGGTGGACACTAAACGATTTTTGTAGTCAAAGAATATATATGCAGACAAAAGATATTTATAAATTCATACATTGTTAGGCTAAGACAATGTTCGAAGTGATTAGTCGTATGTCATGGTGGTGTATTTGATGTTCTTCTGAAATGAACCGATACATGCAGCGCCATCTTTGATGATAAATATAGATGGCGCTGCATGTATCAGTTCATTTCAGAAGAACGTGAAATATTAACCATTATAAAAAATAGGCCGTTAACTTATGATATAAGTTAATGGCGTCGTCAAGTGACAAACGCAAAATCATCCTCGATATCTGTACTTTTCTGGACGTTTCGACGGAAGTTGAAGGGTGTGCAACAAACATTTGCTCGGTAGGCCACCGTCATGTTGCACGTTGTGCAATGAATTTAGACAGGACGGTTATGTACACTAATCGAAGCGAACTAGAAATATACTGACTTGAATTGGCAGTTAGGTAGCTGATATTATATAATACATTTTGCGTCAGGGCATGATCTATCCATAGAAGCATACCGTGCCTAAAAACAAATCAAGGCCTAAAATACGCACTTCTTTTGAGCAAATACGATCTTGGCGTGTTTTTCGTGTCCTTTAGGCAGAAAGACATCTGTTCAACTTTCAGACTTAGTTATGTCTAGATATTTACATTAATCCCATTTTAGGCAAAGGATGACTAATGCAAATTAATTAATACTTAGTAGCAAATTACTTTTGTCTTTCTCTACGTAAAACTGTGCAATACTAAGAAACAAATTGTCCTGGATTAACAGTAAGGGTCGTAGTGTCCGTTGTGGTTTTTCTATTTCTACTTTCGTCATCTGAGTTTCAATTTAGCCTGAACTTGGTACACGTGGTTGTCCCTAGTCGGTATAGAGTATCGGTTTGTGTACGGAAACAAATTTGAATTTAATTATTGCGATATTATTGTTGGCTGATGAGTTTTGCTAGTCTTAAAGTCGGTAGTTTCATATTATTCAGCTCTTGCACTCCTATAGGGTTTGGTTGATTTCAGACCCGACTTGACTCCTTTTGAAACATATCCTATTCGTTCCGTAGACAATACACGATTACGTTTTAACTGCATAGGGACATCCTAAACAATTTAAATCTAAGCAGAGTGTTTTTTTTTTTCTGTAATTTTTCTATTGTTTTTAGCTGCTTTCTGAATATGTTTCATTAATAGTATTGCCGTTGAGTTGGTCCAAAAGTTGTGTTCTATAGCGCTTCCTTTATCGCTTGTTGAGTCTGTGCAATGACTTATATAGTTACACACATATATATAGCATGTATTGTACGAAAGCTCTATAGTCTAGATGAAAAGAGCTTATAAATAGTTGCGCGCTAGAAGCAGTGTAAATGTTTATGAAGAAACAAAACTTTGCGCAGGAGAAAATACGGTAGGTGAAAACGAGGTAGAGGAAAAGAAGGTTAATTGATAAATCACTCATACATATGATTACGTATCCCAGATATACAGTACTTATGGCAGTCTTCAGGCTTATGAATCCAACGAATCCGTAATGTAACCTTAATGTAATTCGTGTTTACCTCGGTTGAGATGATTTTTTGTATATACGCTGTGAATACAATGAGACCACCAATGTGGAAACATAGGGAAAGCATGCTGCAGCGGAGCTGGTCATTAAAATAATGTAAAACGGTTTGTGTTACATTGAGGTCATAATAAATTATACCGAAGAAATAGATAATTTCTGGAAGGAGAAATGATAAAAGGGCTATCGCTTGGGATATGGAGGATAAGCACCACTGCCCTAACGAAGATTAAATAATTCTCATAATTTGTGAAAGGATCTGTAGGAAAAATCAAATAGGGCGGCAATAGACAAAAAGCCGTTAGGTGTCTGGCGTTCGCGCCAAAGTGACACTGTTGTTTCTCTAAACCAAACATATTCAAGAAATCGTTCTATGCGATCTCGTAGAAAAAGAGCATTTAACCACTTATGCGTCTTCTATAGTTAACTCAAACCTGAATTCTAGTCTTTTCATAGGATGATGTACAGCTAGTCCCGCAAAAATCACAAAAGAGCAAGGAAATTACCAGAGGCTTTAGTGTTTACGAAGCCGGAGACGTACCGCCTGCCCGTTTCGGCGACATAACCCGACGCAACTATCAGCACATGTTCTACCTATTTTTCTAAATTGGCATTCAGTTAGCTAATAAACGGGGGTTGGTCGTCAAATGGGACCGCTAATGTCGAGTTCCTCGCTATAATTATGTCTCATAGTCTAATTCATTCGCTTATTATATGGACCGACTTATGAACACCAAACGCGTCAAAGGCTGGCTTGTGTAGTGGATATTTTTTCAGCGAACGATATTAAACATGACAGAATCAATGTTCCGCTTCCAAGATGGGATGAAGTGCTTTCGTCGGATATGGCCTATTAGTAGTGGAGTGTGAATGGGTTTGCTCTATCAGAGACATGCAGTTACTGTTCTCCGTCGTAAAATAACACTTCATTAACGTAAACCTATAAATGTTCATGATGTCGCTATTGAGACGGACGGAGAAGCCTGCTCAATATTATAGGCGGCCGGTAAAACCTGGTAAGCAGTTCGGTTTAGATAGTATCGAATTATTTCAAATATTTATATTTACGCTATCTGATACAGGAAATATTAGCTGTTCTTTGGCCCACAATAACGATCAAAAATATGGACGATTTTAATGTACGAATCCTTCGAGATATATTTGATAATAAGAAATAAATTCACTGGTGTCGATTGCTCCGTTGTTACTGAACATGAACTGGGTCTATCATAAATTAGGTTTAAAAACAGCTTATTAGGTAAAATAACAGCTTCGTAAACGCTAAAATGTGTTCATTGTGTCTGGGTTATATCAAGTAGCATGTTACACAGATGTTATAGCTTGTACGCTTAAAAGGACAAATACTCGGAGATACTAGGAGATAACTAATTATCTAGACAATATGCCAATATGTCTAATGATTGATTTTACTAGTTTGAGATTGGTTCTAATTAAAGATCGATTAAGCTAAATTAAAGAGACTTTAATAATTATCACGATCGAAAGGGTGTACTCGTTTTGAATGTTTCATCAAATACTTAATCAATGTCAGTTATTATTGATTAATCATTGAGAGGTCGTCCCAGCTCAGACAAGAGAGAAAGAGAGAGAGAGAGAGAGAGGGGGGAAGAGGAGAGAAGGTTAGGTGGAAAGACATGTATGTAGTCATTCAATGAAAAATAAAACCAAACGGCAAGCAGACTCCTAGCATGTCAGTGTAACTCATCGACTCTGCCTGCGATTTACGTAATAAATCTAAGAGGATAATACTTTGTTGATACGGTAGTGTATTTTTCTACTTCGTTTCGAAGTTACTTCACATACCTATAAATTTTAAGTTATCAATCATGAACATGTATAAACTAGAAACACTGGAAAAGCGCTCTGCTTCTTGTTTCTATGATTTGCCTGTCGATCGTAAGCAAACACAGTATTTTTTATTGAATTAGTGAAACGTATCTTACTGCGTGTGTATAGAAAGTATGCTGTTATTATACCAAGTTCGATTATAATATATAAATATATACGTAATACATCCTTTTACACGAGTTCTAGAATGACGATACAGCTAAATGCATCTTAAGCTCATATTGCATTTCAACAATTAGATTATTTTATTTTCGATTTTCATAATTCGTTTTCAAAAAACGATAATTTTCGCCAAAAATCCTGTATATTAGGACGTGTCCGAAATATCTAACGATCATGGAGTCCGTCGTCGTAAAATGATACTAGAAAATCAACGGATACGCGATCGAAATCAGTGCCGCAAAATATGGAAACATATCACTTCAAGTTACAACCAAAAACAACTCATTCTATTTGAATAATATGTAAATGTTCTAGAGCCTCTGGTGGATCAGAACAAAGTGTTAACTGCGACAGGCCTTCAATCTAGAATAGACAGTAAGATAGGTAGGTATGCATACAAGTTGAAGTACTTTAAACAATATATAGGTATATCGGTGTGTATTAAAAGACATAGATATTTGCTTGCTAATTTATTGTGAGGCGTCTTCTTTAGTCTGCCGAATAAGTCTCGACAAACTGAGCAAATCTGAAATTAGTATACTTAATCTTGCGATGGACAGCCTTAAGTTATTGATAAAAGTTGATTGATCGTGTTGTACTATATGGCTGCCCGCTATCCAGTGCGCAATTTGATAGTAAAATTCTCAGTCATGACAAAATTGAAATAAGCTAACTTTTTTTTAAAACTGATAGCATTGCGTCACGAACAGCAAATGTTGGTAAGGACGACAACGTAAGCAGAAAATTGCCACCAGCCGCCTAGAAACGCCAGCTGTTCAATGAACCATCGACATACAGGATCTACCATAGTTTAACGTTCGTGATAGACCGTACCTTGGATACATGAAAATTGTATTGAACTTTAGTATACACCCTAGATTTCATCATGTCTAACATCTTTCCAGCTAACCGCTAACATTTATCAATGATTAGAGTTTACTACATTTCAATCGATTTCCGACTAGTCTAGAAAAATTGGACAGTCTATACACACCAGCAGACAAAGAGCAAAGATCCCAGAATTCTTTCGGTGTGCAATGCTCAGGACGTCCTATAATCCTTGCATAAAGTTGACCTATGATAGTACACTTTTTAATTTAACCATTGCTTCTTTATCGAGCTTGGATAGTTGAGACTATATCTAGACTATATCTCAAAAGCTCGGTGGACATGTTCCATCTTTTCTTGTTTGAGCCCAGCAGCCCCTCCTTCTCTTGCCCGTCGCACCAAATTAGTAACTTAATCTAGCTGCCCTGGCTGAACTTGTGCTTATTCGCGCCCCCATCTACGAAGCGTTATTTTTCTTGCAATGGTCCGATCCAGTTCCTAATCAATGGGGCACGCAGCCTACATTGATGATGAATAAGGTCCAATGTGTGGGCTCAAAGCACTCTGATTGTTTTCTTCCCAATAGCCAGCTAGTCGACGACAATGTAGTGCGTCAAAGGTCCACAATGATCTGTACTTTGCATTAATGCTATTTACGTTATATTATTATAGTTTAGATTGTTCGTTCTAATGGGTGACTGATCCAAGCCTCGTCAATAATATGTTACGCGACAATTATGATTAAATAAAGCCACGTAGTCAATCTCATGTATATGTTGGGGTAGTAGCACTTCATTTACATAGCGGCTCACTGAAATCTCCTCAATGGCTAAAGATTTATGTGTTGCCGTTACATTACATAACAAGGAACATTACATCAGTCTCGCTCTATCATTGTTTTAAGCTTGCGTAAAATTGAGTGTAGGTTGCTTATATAAGAAACGCCTTTCTCTCGAAGAAAGGTAACAAGATTTCCTGGACTTCAGCCTAAGGATTACGAAGTTTTAGGTCATCAGTTCATATTAAGACGTTCGTTCTCATCCTTAGTCTCAGCATTTTGGCGAGGTCTCTTTCCTTCAGCGCTTTGGACGTCAAGATGCCCGTAATTGAATGGTTGTCCTCAAACGCGTGTTGAATCTGGGCTGACGTACTTTTCACACTCACCAAGCAACAGCAAGCTCCTACAATTAACTAAAAAAATTAAAAACAACGATTTGAAAAATTGCCTATAGATCCTTTTTGATTTTCCTCTGTAAGATCAATTTTGTACGCCGAAAACGGCCGTAACAGGAAGCGGAAGTTAAATATTAACATTATTTACCCGCCAAGTATAATCCTAAAGCAATTGATATTATTGAAGCTATGGAAGCCCCGCCACAATTCAAATGCGTTATTTCGAAGCATTGAATTCGGAATTCTGTTTTGATACGTTTTGACGTACTTCACTACGTCCGCTTTGTCGTTATATATAATGGTGTTTCCAGACAAAAGTTTGGATTCTATGCAGTAAAAAAAAAAATAGGTAAACGTTACCGAGCGCTGAAGTATGACAAATGAATAAAGTTTTTCATTTTGCTTGAAGTGTAAATAATATAGTTATATAACATATAGTATAGTAACTCAAAAATAGACAACCGCACAGCATGACAAGCGAGTCTTAGGTCATCATACCAACGAAGTCGTGGGCAGTCCTTTGCCACGTAGTATTTGATACTGTTCTTGAAGAATAATGATGATTTAGACATGCCCAATGGAAATATGCGGTGAGCTACTCAATTCTAACCATACTCAACGATTTAAATAAACCTCATCCACAGTTCAGTGACTTCATATAACTACGCTCAGCTGTGTAGGAACAAGCCATTTTTTGTAGGATATAAATAACAGTGACTACATGTTGTTGTACTTGTGCCTCAAACTTTTCTACAGGGATATAACTATTCCTAATATATATATATATATTCTGAAATCGATTTAGAATAGCTCGTACAAACGCTCTAGACCTCTTGTAGTACGTTGAGACTGGGCACAACGAGTGCTTTATCCAACAAAACAGATTCGTTTTTGACGATGACTTAATTTACAGTTCGTAGGTATCGGCGGCGCCTATCGGCGACCTATCAGGTCACCAAATATAGAGCATCACTTGAAGTGATTTTTCGTACCCTATTGGATGTATCCACAGTAGAAATACAGCATAACGCTGCAGAAATATTATCTAAAACGTATGACTCGTTTTTCAGAGCGTGCGTACCGCGTGTTTATGAGTGTCGGACGCAGACAAGTCGCAACAAAGCATTCTATATTTGGTCCGCTTTTTGGCTTAAAGTGAAGCATTTACTGTTTTTATAAGAAATAACGATTATTGTAACGTATAAGTAAATTGTTGTCATACAATTTCGGAAAGATGTGATGTTTCCATCCGGGCAATGATTCATGCTCAGCAATGGTCACTCCTAAGCTTATTCATTTAGTTATTATTAGAATATTCAAATTAGTCCTATAAAGACCAGCATGGTTCAACATTGGCTTGACCTCCCCGAGTAGATAACAATAACCCTCTAGATACTGTCAAAAAACTATTTTGCGTTATTGAGCACCGAGACCTATTTTAGCCTACTTTTGGTCATTGGCTTGGGGTGCTGGCACAAAATCCCCGGCTCTTTTGAGTCTTACTAGGTACGGAAACTGTGACAAAGTAACTGGAATACCAATCACAGCAGCATGTGCGTACGGCACGAATGTTTATTGGATGTTATTGTTTTTAATAGCTTTTGTAAAAATGCGCGTTGCTGTTCACCAATTTGTTTTCCACTTCAGTGGCACTCGCCCGAACTTTCAGTGATCCAGTTCAAGCTAAAATGGTCTTCGTTGGCTTTTACCTTATCTACCTGCGCTAAATTGACTATTTTCGGGCCGGGATGGGAATTGGCACCGGTCCACGTGGCATGCATAGTAATGTCCGTCCGGACCTATTCTAACGATGATCAAGTTAGCAGTGTTAAGTAGCAGTATCTCAACGACATCGATGTGTTCAATTATGTTACGGTTTCCTCGAATTGTCCTATTGAAGCGCTCATCTTGCCAAGGGATTGCTGCCATTCGAAACGGCTCCATCGGAAGACAAAAACTAAGCTTCAAAAAAAGCACACTGTTCAGGCCTTTCGGTCAAATGAATAAACTAGTCTTACGCTGGATAATAAAACCACTTAATTCTGGCCTAAGTCTTGTTTAAAACTTCATTTTACAAGGTCCTCTCACCGTAGCTTTCTGTTTTTTCTACGCATTTATACTACTCGCTTTTAGCAGATAATCAGCGCATCGATGCTGTCAAGTAAATAACGCGGTAGGCGGTTACAATAGGCTGCTAACATATCTTCAGCACGTAAAAAGACAGATCCTGTTTATTGCTGTCTACAGGCTGTATGCAATTAAGAACCGAGCCATCATTGTTCTTGAATAAGACGGAAAGAAAAGTTCGCTACTACGCTAGCTTAGGTAAAGGGTGGGACCAGGGGTTAATCTCTCACATTAGCATGTACAGGCGTCAAACAGTAGTCAAAAAACTCACGCCACGTGTGAAGATCTGTTACTCTTAGGCCTATCGTCCCTGATAAGGAAAGCGTAAATTTTCTTATGGGCTATATTTAATTTTTAGCCCCAAATGATATAATCGCCTAGCAAGGCGAACCACAGCCATAATAATTTAAGGAAAATACTTGGTTGGTTAATATCAGCATTACAAAGTATGACGAACTTCTACGAGTAAGCACTAGCATTTCAAGTCAGCATTAACAGACCAGTTTTCACAACTGTTTCACTCTACTATGCAGTGGATATGAGCCGGTAACTTCTTGTCGATACGGGATAAGTTAGGATAGTTTTAACTTTGCAAGTTTGCTTTTATGCAAGTGTCACGGGACTTCCCTTGTTGACGACAGTACCTGAGCGTCACATACGGTTTAATCAGTATGTACACCGACACACAGACTACGGAGACCTTAAAGCTTGTTTGATATAGGACCATCTACCTACTAGCAGATGTTTTAGTGGCCGCGTTAATGGAAGCCTATTCTATCGGCTAGTCGTTTGAATAACAACCGCTTCTCAACGTCATATTGATCGATCGTTCAATTGGTGACATTGTCCTTGTTGCCGTTGTGTTTCCTGTGGCTGGTTTGTTACCGCGTTTGTTCATTAAACGTCCTGGTAAAGTCATCGTTGCAGACACAGTGAACTAGTCCTGACCTGTTGCGACGACATCTCCCATGGGGATCATAAGGTATTTTTCATATATATTTCAAATTTATAGTAATAATACTAATCATCGGACCATCGGCAGACAGATTGAGCGTACCATTACAATAATGCTTCAGCCAATTGTTTTTTTCCGGGCAAAACACGTCGTCAATCATACTGGCCTTTAGCTTACAGCATTCGCCCGACGGGAAGAGGCATACGGCCGTAACGTTGCGAAATACATACGATCTCCGAGCATGCGATTGTTTACAGTGATTTCGATAGTTCTATCTTGTAGAGTCAACTTCGTCCGAGCTTCACCACTGCATATATAAAAACGGACCCATATCATCACACTGGGTTCGGTACTTGTTCTTCATCCCACTTATTCCTTGGGCAGTGTACCAACTCATCGAAAGGTCTGGTCAGATTCGCAGCTAAACGAATGGAAGTCGTTTCCTTTCTTTCATTTAGAGTGCAACAAGAATTAGCAGAACTGACGTTTTCATTAAGCCCACGTAAAAGAAACTCCTGTCGTAGTATCGAAAATTGTTTCGACTCACTTCGCTGATTTCGTGCATGGCGAAAGCAGCAGGCAGATCTACAATCAGTTCGATCTATTTGAGTCGGATGAGGATCGACCAGCAACGCCATGGGTTGCCTGATCATTTCTTCATATTCTAGCTAATCGTAATAATAAGTGCAAAAAAGATCACTGGCAGTGCCCGCAAAAGGCCGCCATTGCAGTTAAGGTCTAAGGGCGACAAAGATCTTGTTTTGGCCTCGACGTGCGAATGGCTTTTCCTGTTGCTTTCAGCAGCTATGCTCTTCAGCACGTGAGCACCGTAGAGCGGTACGAAGAGCTATTGGATTCTTAATGGATATCTGATTAGCAAAACAGTACACATGGCGCTTCCTGGTGAACTACTATTTGGACGGCAGCCTTTTTTTTATTGTTCAGGACATCGTCCAGGCCATGCAAGCTTAGCCTTCGAAAATTATTGTCCGAAAAAAGTTTATTTTACTGACGGAAACATAACCGGCGTTTTCCTTTCTCATTTTTTTCTATAATACACGCTTAATGCAGTGAATGGTGATACGCACTTCAGTTATATAATTGTTGGACAGTGATATCAGCTTAGCTTACTTTCGGCCTTGACATTAGAGCGGTGCCTCGGGGCGCCATAGTTTGGTTGGACACATGTTCTCCTTTTGGCTGTATCGCTCCGTAAAGTCTATCTGCTACGGTTTAAAAAAAACCGATATTTTTTTCTTCATTAGATACTGGATTAGATACTATGCTAGACGCCTTAGGGCCGTTCATAATAGCTGGCCTGCCATGTTATGTACAACGTCACGCGCTTTCTTGCACATAATACATGTGTTTCATGTATTATGAGATGTTTATTTTTTTGTCGAGAAACCTTCTGCGTAAGTGCGCAAGCTTTCTCAGGTGAACTAAGTCCAATCCTTCGACTACATTTGGAACCTACAAACAATCGCAAATTTCTGCTTCACGTTTTTTGTGTGACAAGGTAAGAGAACTCAGATCGAGCACAACTTATTTCAATTGTCACAATCGTTTTCGAGGGGGATGATGTACTGGCGAACTACAAAACTGACATTTTGAACTGTTTCTACCCAGTTGCCATCCGTCGTTGGATGTCGTTGAAGTCAGGATGAGGTCTATATACAACCAAGCAAAAGCAGCACAAAAAGTTCACCGAATGCGGGAGGCTATGATTTCGCAAAACGAGCAGAAAGAGTGCATAATTTCCTTATTAATACACTCTGGTTATCCAGAAGTTGCATGGATTTTGATTACCGAACAATAGTATAAATTCGATGCGTGCCTCTATTAATAAGTCAGTGTTTCTTTTACTATATGAACTCGAATGTATTAACAGATTTTGCGTCTTCAACAAGCACCTCTTCGCTAGTCTAACGCCTTG